GTAATAATTCTTCTTCTTCTTCTTCTTCTTCTTCTTCTTCTTCTTCTTCTTCTTCTTCTTCTTCTTCTTTTTCTTCTTCTTCTTCTTCTTCTTCTTCTTCCAACTCTACTTTGTATGATTATTATCTATCATTAAAAATATTCAGATCATCATCAATACTTTATTATTTTGGCATAATTATTATTTTGGTTATTATCAGTCATCTTCTTATTGATTGAAGAAAGTGTACAAACAGAGACGACAATACCCACCTTCCACCAGCCCTTGAAGATCCTCGTCTTTCTGCTGGTAGACAAACTGACAGACAAAACTGAAGACACAGCAGTCCACTTCTGTGACCTCGTCACTCATCATAAACTTTTTATCACCTGAAGAGAAATTATCAACGTTGAATTATGAAAATAAGTAGAAAATTGTTTACAAGCATACGTAATAATTGTATTATTATATTATATCATATTCTTGCACACACCTTGTGAACATGCACATAGCGAAACATGCATTTATAGCAAATACATTTTTAGGTCTAATTTATAAAAAAATAAAAAAATAAACGCACGTTTATTCTTTGTAACGCTATCTACAGCATTTTCCACTTGAATGGGTTTAACACCCATATCAATACTTTGGGGTTATTAAAGAGGTGGGACCTCCCAATTTATCATCCGTCTCTGATAGGACAGAGCCCAAACAGGTTTCAGAGCCTTGAAAACTCCACAAACAGCCCGAGTTGAAGAACACCAAGTCTGGGATTTAAACCAGGACCATCTGCTTCGTAGTACAGCATATGATATTGACACTAACTGAGAAAACAGAGGGTCCGTTGAAAACAACGAAATCTGTGTATAAAGAACCGATTTCCCCTGTGCTGCCAATTCGCTATGTGCCTGCTTGACTATTAAAACTTGTTTATTCTTACCAGTCCCTATCACCAACTCTGTTTCGATTCTCTAAGAAGTAGGTTGTTCTTGGTCTTTTTTTTATATTAGAAGGTTTTACGGCGCTCGCAACTGCAGGAGGTCATATGAGCGCCAAGGTGTTGGTGTCAACAGAGAAGTCTATACAGGGAATCAGACTTATTCTGCTCACCTCTCTAGCTTCAACAGCACAAGATCTGCTTCGACTATCAAGGCACTCCGGAAATAGCAGGCCACAAGAGAGTGATAATCATACAAAAGAAGTAGAGGAAAACGACAATGGTAAGGATTAAGAAAGAAAAAGCAGCAGTTCCCTGTTGTAGATCAGGCACAGTTATGAGCGTGACATGAATCAGCAAATTTACAATTCTACTGTGCTTGAACGAGAAATGTCCCCCCTTTAGGAATGGCCTAAAGACACTACAAGTGGCACTGCCCCGGGGGGTCATTCTTGATCTACCCTTGCCACTTTTACTTTCTTTTTGTCCAGTAAGAGCAAGTTGTTCAAAGCCATTGTATCTAGTCTAATCACGTGTCCATTAAACTGTATTTGTCGCTTCTGCACATTTTTATTAGCGAGAAGCACAGTATAATAATATTAATTTTATAATAGCATACTATAACTGAAACAGACTTTTATTAAAGACAACAGAAAGGCTCATCAGGTCAAATTATCTGATCATCGCCAAATTAACACCAGCATTTAGTTGCTTGGCCCTTAAAGTGAGCCTTTGAACAAGATAATAATAATAAATAATAATACACGACATGTAATAAATAGCATTTGTATAGCGCATGTCCCCACTCGAAAGCAAGCTCTATGCGCTTTACACTATAATATTATTACCCAGCAGACAATAGAACACTCGGGAACATTTTCAGCTTCCCGGGAAGCATACAGTGCAAGCAGCTGGTTAAGCACTCAATCAGTAACAAACTGACAAGATCTTTCCCTGTCTATAGCTGAGTACCCATTTTCACCTGGGTGAAGTGGGGAAAATTTGTGTAAAGTGCCTTTCCCAAGGACACAACGTTAGGCCCGCAGCTCGGACCCCCGAACCCGCAACCTCACGATTACGTACGAGTCCGGTAGCCAAACCACTAGGCCACCGACGCCACGAGAAACCATAACCCTAGCTCAAAAACAGGACGCTTTACAATGGTAGTCAGTGACAACGAGTTTGTGAGATTGTCAAAAAATTAACATTTTTAAATGTAGATGTTTTTACGCCAACATCTACACAATTTAGATCAGTTAGGAGGCAGGCTTCTGACCCTGCCTTCCAATACTTGATAACAATTTCTCGCAACTCGGATTTCTTGTCTGCAACAACAAAACGCCTAACCGCTACACCAACGCCATCAGAAACAGCAACAGCGACAACAACAGCACCAACAACAATAGCAACATCACCGTCTCCATCACCATTGCCACCACCACCAATTAAACAACAACAACAACAGCACCAACAACAATAGCAACATCACCATCTCCATCACCATTGCCACCACCACCAATTAAACAACAACAACAACAACAACAACAACAACAACAACAACAACAACAACAACAACAACAACAACAACAACAACAATACATACCCAGATAATCCGCCAGAGCCTGAAGATCCCCCACCAGGAATTCTTTGATTTCTTCCTTGCTGTGCCGGCCCATGCCTTGGGCCAAAGACGCTTCCCTGACTTTCCGGGAAATGAGCCACAAGATGAGCGAGTTCACTTGGGAAAACGCTTTTCTGATGACTTTCTTCTCTCTGTCCAGGACCCAGCGGAAGATCGCTACACACCTGGTGGGTCAAAGGTCAGAGCATCCTGTAACAGTTACAACTAGAATTGCAAATTTCTATAATCTGCTTAGTACCTAGTTTTGAGAAATTTGACGTAAAATATGTTGAATTTCACAACATGCCAAGATTTTGCAAATGCAGTTCTTTGAACATTTTGATAACGATTCTGAATAATCGTATGACTTCGATAGAGCAGATTGATAGAACATTTGGTTTCTGAACTTATGGTCTTAGTAACTCAAAATCAAAACAGCTAACAATGTCAGACAGAACTTTGTAATTCTAATGTAGAGCAATGACATAGCATGTAACAAAAATACAATGATAATGATAAAGCTGATGCTGAAGCTGATGATTATAACAATAATAACCGTGACGATAATTTAAAATAGTCTATCTAGCACTCACATAGCGGAACAAGCCTATTTCCTTATTTATACTTTTGTTATAGACTATAAATCTAATACTAATTACCACAATTAGTACTGACACTAACAATAATGCCGTCATTTTAACAAATACAGTGTATGCAGTTTTTACAATTTTATAGAAAAGCCCAAAGAGGTATAGCACTATTTTTAATAAGCTCTTTGTAAGAGCCAAAAACCTATTCGTTGCTATCAATAAAACAGCATTTGCTTTTAAGATAAAAAGGAAGTTAGTATCAAAATTGCATTCTTAAAACCATTGTTGGATATTTGCAAAGAGTTTAATTTCTTGGTAACATATATTCAGTTTTCTGGCCCTCCTGTAAAATTGTTTTAAAAATTCACAATATTTGATTTTTTTAATGGCGGCAGACTAGTAGTAATTATAATAATGATGATAACATTATTAACAGTAATAATAGACTAACAGTGACTGCATTTATATGAAAAACACAGAAATGTTATTTTTATATATGCAAAACTCTAAAACACAATAAATAACCCTCCACTTCTTGACCCACCAATACAAGTGGTCTTCACACATCATTTGTATGGTCCTCGCTACCGCTCTCTGGGCAGGGTCAAGGCCTTTGTTGAGGTCAATTCCCAGTTTCCGGTTCAGGTGAGAGATACACTGGTGAGAGTCAGCCACTGCCTCGCCGTTAAACTCCATCCAGGGCATTTTTCCTTTACTGGACACATTGAGGTCCGTTTCTGTCTGGAAATTCAATATAAGGAACAAAATTACTACAGTCGACAATGGATGAATTGATGTTGCCTGCGGAGTGAAAAATTCACCCAACAACAAAAGTTACGCATTATATAGCTATTTAAATACTCGGGTTATTAATAACCCACATTCGCTAGAATGTTGGACATGACCGATTTTTTTTGTATTCAGTGATGTTGTGAGCTCATGTCACAAAGCTGAAAAATGGCCACAGTATAAAATGAGGTCACAATATGGCTGCGAAGAAAAAAAATGCAAAGTGAGTATTTTCTTGTGCATGCCAGTTGGTGAGCAGTTTTTATCCTCTGAAAAGTGTTCACCGGACCGAGGGGGTATAAATTGACAGGACGTAACGCTTTCCTCAGTTGAGAGTTTTGAGCCAGCGACCACGCCACGACTCATCCAAGCAAACCGAGAAAGAGCTATTATTGATATTGGCAGAGAGTCCAGCAGATGTGTCTGTTGCCATGGGTGTGTCCCTCTCAACAATATATATCTACCCCGAAGACGTTTTCAAGTTACTGTAAGCACTCGTGAAGCTCACAGAACTGGCCGACCACGAGTGACGTCAGCATGCCAAGTCGTGCCCTTCAGCGGAATCACCTGCGAGAAAGCTTCATGTGTACTACCGACTGAATCGGCCCAAAATCTCGTTTGAAACCATAGGAGAGCCATTTCAGGTCAGCGCCGGCTTCGAGAAAGACAACTGCAATTTCGCCGACCTTTGAAACGTGCAGTCCTCTCTGCAAGACATCGGCAACAATGTTTGGCGTGGGCTCAGCAACATGTGAACGGGACCTGGCGACAGTGGAGAAATGTACACTTACGAAAGCTGTTTTTGCGTCAGTCGAGGAGATGGAAGAATCTGGATATGGAGAAGACCCAACCTACGGTTTGCTGACAACAACATCCAGCAGGTCTATGCATGGGGTGGTCCCAGCATAATGATCTGGGGTGCAATCGGCCTAAACCAACACTAGGGACCCGTTGTTTTCCAGAACATTTGACCTGGTCAAGGTAACGGTGTTAATGCACATCACTACATCCAACAGGCACTGGCGCCTGTGTTCAAACCTCATTTCCAGCGATAGCCGAACCTTATCCTACAGCAGGGAAATACTCGACCCCATACTGCAAGAGCTACAGAAGCTTTCTTACAGCAGAACAATGTCATGGTGCTGCCATGGCCCTCAATGAGCCCAGGCCTCAACTCGATTGAACACTCTGGGACCACATCCAAAGAAAACTGAACCGTTTTCAGCCAAGACCAACAACAGCACCTTGGCTGCAGTGAGCCTTCACACAAATTGGTACAAATGTGGACACGCCATCATTCATAGACTTGTGAGGTCAATGCCTGCCTAACAGATGTCAAGCTGTTGGGAACGCAAATGGGGGGCGCACACGCTATTGATTCACAGTTAACATTACCGACTTATAGACATATTTTCTTTTAACTCCAGTTTATCATTTTTCACAGCAAATTCAAATCGTTTTCTCTGCAACGGGACTGTTAATCCTTACAGAGGAATCCTCTTCAATAAATGTGACAAAAAATCTATAAAACCACAAATTACTTACCAATGTCTTTATCTGCATTTATTTTGTATATATGTAATAATTTGCGTTTCTTTTGTTGTTGAGTATAGATGAGTTCATCCGGATCTGTACAGAAGACGAGGTGCTGGGAACCGAAGATCAACTCAAGCCAGTAGAAAAATACGAGCGGAATCGACAGTACGATGTAAAAAATTCAGATTTCATTGAGTTTTCTTTTGCCACGTTTTCATTACCACAATGAACGCACATTCTGTTTCAAAAGTATTTTTACATGTTTTTATTTCTATGTTATGATCTGAAATACTTCAGAAAAAATTACTCAGCTTCTGTGGTGTAGCCCAATTGTTAAGTTAAACATTTAGTAGTCACACGCGGAAGACCTGCTCTCGATTTCTATGTAAAGAGAATTTTTATTGAGTGTCTCAGTCTTTCTGCTGGGGTGTTGAATTTCTCCGGGTCTGAGCAGTCCCTGAGAGGCACAGTTACAGTTGTCTCCTACTCCTAAATGGTCTAAACTGTGCCAAATGGACTGTAAAAACACTTATATGTACATTGATTTTTTAAAAGTAAGAAAGATGCAGAGAGTTAAGATTATATTGAGATCAAAAGTGGGCGTGAATTTTCTTCACTATGATAAATCAATGACTCACCACATAGGGTATTTTTGCGAGTCTTAAGTATGTCTCCAACTTGACGGGAAATGGTGACACAGAAGGAGCAAATGGTCCTCTGGGAAACTGGTGCAAAATAACTGTACCTGGAGGGACTGTTCTTGAAGACTTGTGGGGGGATCTGTGGGGTGGGAACGGGAATTTTGGTAAAGTTGTTATGTAGTGAGTGAATAGAGACAGACAGACAGACAGACAAACAAGCAATGTAATGTTGGATGGATGGACGTGTATATGAAAGGATGGATGGACGTATGGATGGATGTATGAATGGATGGATGGATGGATGGATGGATGGAGAT